ACGGGAGGTTAGCGAATCGTATTCTCCAATTTTGTTTTTCTTTCTAAAATAAATAAAATCGATACAAACATTTTGCCAGGCTTCAAAACTGGAACGGTGGTAAGTCTGTAGATCCATACGGGACTAATTGGATCTTGAAGATTTTGATGCGTACAGCAAGACCCGGATAGTTCCTCCGGTAAACTATCGGATCCTTGCGCTTTTAAAAACGTACTATTTTCGAGACAACGCAAGATATAGGGTTCGCATCCACACAACCTTACGTTAATTGTAGTACTGTCATTGAACACATGTCTCATTCGTCGACTTGAGGCTTGTATGATCGAGAGAGGAGGAGTTTATATTATTTATCGATGGTGTTTTTGATCGGCAAGCCATCAATCATCGTTAATTCTTCACCAAATCTCAAGATTGAGCCACCAATTTCGAAGGCTTCCTTCTCCTTCAGGCGGGTAAAATAGTCCAATCATCCTGAAAATTCAGGCAAACAAGTTATGAAAGAAAACAAACTTTATTTGCGAATAACTAAAAAACTACACACTTTTCTCTTGGTTATGCTGATGATTATATAAAAGATTAATAAATTCCCTACAAAAGGAAAAAAAAACATTGTTTTCTTTTCTTATTAATTTGGAATTTGAAAACAATATCCTGTTCGAATTTTTCGCTCGGGCCTACTAGTTCCTAATAATATGTCAAACTTCCAATAATATGAATTCTTCCACTAAAAATTTGTTTTGCATATCTGAATCATATTATATTTTTTATTTACTTATCTGAAGTTATTTGGTTAAGGCAATTATGTTTGTTCTCGTTTACCTTAATCTCGTCATTTTAATGTACATATTTTTAGATTCTTAATTCCCATCGGTGCCTGAGTTCATAGGCCGAAGGCACGTCAAATTTTTCGATGGGCTGAAGGTCTGTGCTAACCCGCTTTTCCAGGAAATAGTACCGCCGCCCAGGCCTGGGAGGTGGCAATGTAAAGTCCCCTTGGTAGATATTCTCGCCGAAGAAAGGGGTTTGGACTCTGTAGTTCACACTCACTAACTATAATGTAAATAATAAATTAATGCAGGGCGGTCCCTCCACGCCCAGTGATATAATAAAAGGCCTCTGGCCACAGATGCAAAGAACGCATACAGCGTGCAGAGACCTCTTACCTTAAAATGCCCTTGGGCAATAAAAGGAAATTGAAAAATGTGTGTATATATACCATTTATATATATATTGTATCTGTAATCAAGAAATTCCTGGTGGGGGGGAGAAAAAAAAAAATTGCCATGTTATCTTAATAATTTGGATTAAATTATATTCATCATTCAATTATATTAAATTTTAATCTAAGATTGATTTCGATCTAATTAAATATAGGCATTAAGGTTCTTTTTTGTAGTAATTGTGGTTCAATCCACAATTCTTCTGATCCAATTTCGTGGCAACCTGCTGTTCTTAATGTCTACAATTCGCTCCTGAACAATTGTTGACTGTTCTTTCGAAAGCTTAGCCATCGAAACCTAAAGAAGTTCACGTTCTGACCTTCCGATACATCAAAAGAGTCTAGTTAAAGCTTATTAATCTTACCCAGGAAAATGAGCATATCCTATATCTTTGGATAAATCCTCAGTTTGTACCAATTTTAAAAAAGATAAGCCGCACAAAGCGTTTGACAGCTATCGTTAGATTACATTCCGACGGAACCAAATCGATTACGGTCTCGTTCCAAAAAGCTAGTAATAGCCTATGGTCCATCTCTAGTAATGATCAACTGCTTTCATTGTTCATATTCATCCATTTTGTATTAATAATAACAACTACCGTTAATAAGGAGATTTTTAATTATTTTAAATATAACAAATTAAAGAAACTTTAGAGGAAGACATTATAGAAATTCGATCTTTTAGCCCAGACTTTTCCATAAATGATCATTATAGCCGAGCCTTAGGGTGGGGAAACTGGGGCAATTGCCCGCGCACGCATTGTGGAAGCCTGCCGATATTCAGGAGCGTTCGGCACTTACGGAAAAAAAAAACGTATTAAAATAATAAATTTTAACCAATCAATAAATAATCAATAATTAATCAATAAAACAATTGTATTAGAAAAATGTTGAATGAAATACAATTCTAATATTACATAATATAAAACAGATTAAGAAATAATTTAAATTATTTTAGAGGCGGGAGAAGACGTAATTTCCCGAGGGGCGCTGAAGGTCTAAGGCCGGCACTGTTGAGGATAATAAGAATAAAATGGCTATTTTATTGTGCATTGATGCACCGAGTTTAACCAAAGCCGTTTGAGTCATTTTCCTGAAAATTGAAGTGTCTAAAATGGATTAAATAAACTGTTACATTGAAGCAGGAAAATCGTCTGATGGCTTGTATTTACCAGCTAACTTGCAACAGAATGGAACTTGCAACAACCTATCGCATCTGAATATAAAGAATAAATGTGATGTGCAGATAACAATCAAGCTTTGAAGAAAAATTAAGTCTGAAGTTGTACTTGGTTCATGAATGTTTTCGACATAGCTTCTCTTGCACAAATAAGCAAATAAAAGGGTAATTATTTAGATGATTACACGTGGTTCACAATCACTTCGGTCACACTTGTTCACGGCGTGCCGAATGCATCTGGGTTTATCCCAAAAGACTGTTTTCGCCGTTTCACGAACAAGTGTGACCGAAGTGATTGTGAACCACGTGTAACCAGTGCGGTCATCATTTAAATTATTACCAATAAAAGACCAAATTAACCAATTTATACTGAGATGCCAAATAAAAAATTAGAGTTGTGCCTTCTATACAGATCTTTCTTAGGTTCTCAAAGAGAGAAACTTATAGAACATTAAATAATTGACTAGAAAAGATGTTTCTAAAGCGAGTTTATATTTAATTTAATATTCATACAATTTCATATCCATGATTAAAAAAGGTTTTACCGATAGGTACCAATGAACCAATGAAATATAGAAAAGAAGTATTTAATGGAAAAAAAAAAAATGTTGCCAATAAATTCTGTAAGATATTTGCTCAAACTCGCAATTTCAACCCAAGCAAAAGTAAAACAGCATCTGGAAGCTAATTGTCAACTAAATGAGCCATAATCTTGAAGAGGTTAACACTGGCACTAAACAACACAAAACAGCCTAGTAAGAAGTTTATTAATCTTACCTGGGCACATCCCAGATCTTTGTAGAAAACCTTAGCAAGTACAATTTAAAAAAAAAAAAAAAAGGCAGGCCGCGCAAAGCTTTTGACAGCTATCGTCCAGTATGACTGAGGAGTACCTTCTGCAAAATTGTGGATAAATGGTTACGAGATTACAATTTGCTTTATATAATAACAATAATGACACATAGCAGAGCCAATCAGGATTTATTAAATATACGGATAACATCGAGCAGAAAGAATGCCTTAATGCATAGAGGATTAAATATGATTTTCACAAAAACAAAGTTCACTAACTGCCTAAAATGCCACGGTTCATTACATAAGAGGTTCAAAACATTTCAATCTCATCGCCTTATTTCTGTTAAATATAAAAAAATGCTCTCCAGGATTCAAACATGTTTAAAAGAGACTTCTTCAAAGGTCAATACTCGGTGTAATATATTTTAATGCCATCGTTAATGACGTTTTTGGTACTTCGATGGAACAATCGCCTGGTGCAGATGGTTTACTTGATGCTTATGACATGATAATCTGAGGAACCAAGAGCAAGATCGCTTATCTTGAAAAGTGAGCCAACAAGAGGGCCAAAGAGCTCGTCAGAAGAAGAAGAAATCATCATTACAGAAGATGGTATTCATATTATTTAATCTATCTTTAAAAAAAACAAGACCTCAAAGTGAATTTTAATGATCAGCCCATTAATAGAACTCATGATGTGAATTATGCGGGACTGGTGTTGGATAGTAAACTGATCTTGGCTAAACCCACTGAACAGTAACAAAGACTTATTGGTAAGATGGCAGACAAATATGCAAATCATGAAATAAATACCAAGGTTCTATTTTTGGATTTAATCAGAGTTGTAAGGGGAAAGATTGGCAACAGTTATACGAGTGGGAATACATCTAAAAAAAAAAGACCATCTAACAACGTAACAGAAGATACCCTTACACTTAGTTGTGATCCATGAATTTAATCTCAACTATATTGAATTAGGAACTAAAAATTCATATGAATAGAAACTTCATTAACATCTGATCTAACCGTAATGAAATGAATCATTCCAGCCTGATCTCATTTGCTAAGATCGATAGAAGCTTGATGTAGAATAGAGTTACAAAGAGAAGAATGAAGAACTAAAGTTTTAGAAGTTAAAAAAGGTTTAATACAAAGAGATGGTATCTCACAGATAATGTTAATATTTTATGGATGTAAATAAGTAGTTTCAGAAAAAAATTTATGAGGCTCGAATAAGAAAAATAAATAAGAAGATAACAAAATATGCGTTAGAGTAAATGTACCAGTAACTGAAATGCTTACGGAAATTTCTTTGAATTTTTATGTGTAAAACTAAAATATTTATGTTATTGTATTTTTCTAAGATTCATGTAGAAACTAACTTCATTTCATTATAAGTTTTTTATATATATTGGCAACAGTTATACGAGTGGGAATACACCTAAAAAAAAAAAGACCATCTAACAACGTAACAGAAGATAGCCCTTACACTTAGTTGTGATCCAAGAATTTAATTTCAACTGCAATAGCTTAGTAAAGTTGGTCAGGCTGACAACATATCTTGAGAGGATAATTAAATTTCTACATGTAAGGGTCAAGCTAAGAGTAGTTACTGACCAACATGCCAATGCCCAGATGATTCAGGACACACTACCTTCCAGTGTAAAATGTTCGAGAAGAAAGAAAATTGGGTTAGGGCCGCAAGTTATAGATAATAGTAATAACTTCCATGTCTATACCACAATCTCAAGTATTTTTCAAGGTACTGAAAATTTGAAAAATCATAGGATAAAATATTTCAGAAACAACGATTAAAATACTTTTATTTGAAAACATTATAATTTCAAATAAAAATTATTAAGTAGTAAAATTTCATATTTTCATTAATAAATACATATTTGGTATAGAAGAATAAAATACAATCAATTGTAATCATACATATGTACGAGACTAACGACTAAAATACACATTTTACGAATAATGAAATTTCTAATGCAATATTAATTAACAATATTTTTCTTTTTTTTCCTTTTTGTTTAATTATTCAGGTACAAACAAACATAGACTATTGCTTCAATTAGATTAATGTCAGTGTTAAATATTGTACTTAATTATCTATTCGTAATAAACTCTTATATACATTAAGTTTATTATTCCAGCTACCTATTCCAAAAGGCAAATGCCTTTTGAATATTTTCTGAGCCTGGAATTTTTTTCTGTCGCAGTTTTGGTATTTCAGGTTGGGTCACTTTGAGAATAGGTGGCTTATTGGAGATTACCCTTTCACTGATGTCCTTCTCAATCTCTGAAACATTGAGAAAATACATCAATATTTTTACCAGTATATTGACAAATATTAGTTTAAATCTCAAAAATTAAGACTAGCAAAATGTTATTAATAAATTTTGCAATTCACAATAATTCCAAGATGTATCTTTACTTTTTTTGTTTGTCTTCCCTTCCTTGACTTTTCCTGAGCCAAGGAAGAGAATGGAGGAATTATGCCGAGTTAAAAGTTCAGTCGGACACCGGAACAAATTTTAAGTCGTAAATATTGTTTTTCTATTTCAAACTTCGTTATCAGGTTACCGGACAACGCTTGGTAACCCCGCCCCCTACTTCACAAGTAAACACAAAAAGAGAATTTTTATTATTATTAAAAATCTCAAATTCTTCATGAATATGTTTATGAATGCAATATTGAATCTATTTGTGAAAGCTAAAATACAATAATGCATCAAAATACAGAATTAAATGGATAACCTATCAGATGAATAAAAAAGATGGAATAATTTATAACATATTAAAAGGCCAGAAGTGGCAATTATTAATCTAAATAACAAAATGAAATTGAATCAAGAACTGTTGATTTGAATAAAATATGTTTGAGTTGAATGACCCCCCTCTTACCTTCACTTGATTTGAAAAAAATAAGTTATTTAATGAAAAATAAGTTATTATTGTTTAAAAAATGATGATTAACACAAATTTATGTTTATAATTTTTTATTGTTTAAAGATTGGCCAGTTAACTTTAACAAATGATGTATTCAAGAGACCTTGTGGCATATTAGTTTTATTAGGTTGGCAAAACTGTTTCTTTATTACCCTAATAAAAATAAAATATTTAAACTTGATATCTTATATTTTTGAATTGAACAATCAAAGTGTTATTTTTTATAAATAACTGTTAATTATTACATTATTAAAAGCTGAAATTAAGGTAAGTTAAAATAAAGTAAATCCTCAATATAAATAATTCTGTATTGTTTACATGTTTAAATTTTTTAAAAACCAAAATGATCTTAAAAAATAGCTTAATACTATTATAATTAAAAAAATTACTAGAACTAAAATTGAAAAAAGTAATACTGTCATCCACTTTAAAAGGTTAGATTGAAAATGTTTCAAGAAGAGGAAGAAGAAGACCTGATGTCGATTGAGAAAATTGGAGAATCGCATACACAGCTTGTATATCAAATACAAGAAATCACTGAAGAGAAAGATGCACTTAAGTTAATTACACAAAATCAATTAAAAAACATAAATGAATTACAGGAAAAATGTGAAGAGTCTTTCATAGCTATAAATCAGCTTCCTGAAAACAGAAATGCTGCCTCTGATAGGTAAATCATAAAAACAATAGCATTGTATATTTATCTATATAATCAAAGTATGTATACTTTTGTATTACAGATATCATGAAGCCATGACAGAAATCATTAAATTACAAAACAAACAATTAGAAATTAATGAACTGTTGAATTTGTCTCTAAAGGAATTTGATGACAATATGCAATTAACTAATAATGCTAAGATTCTCTATGATTCAGAAATTAATATTGGGAACCAACGTCGCTTGATTTATCAATCAAGCTTAAATGAGATTAAAAACTTAGGTATTTTAAATATAATTAATTTAAATTTTATATTATAGTTTTATATTAAGTTTTATCGTGATGACAATACATGAATGATTTTATTGTTTCTAACTTGATGTTATGTTGTTGGCAACAAATAATATTTCAAATAAACTTTATATTTACATAATATGCTCTTTTATTTCAATGGTTTATCTGAATACCTGTTTTTATTGGGTACCTTAAGTTTAAAATTGACTTTAAAGCATCCAATCCAAATGTCCATATTGCCAATAAGCAGAAGAGGATGTCAATAAATAAATAATTCAAATAATGATTATATTTTTAGATTTAGAAATGAAACTCTAATTACTTCTGAAACTTCTTCTATACAATTTTTTTAAATTAAAGATATGAATGGTATGATCTGAGATTAAATAAAAAATATTGGCATAATCAATTAAATCAATAAACATAGTCTATTATTTGCTAAAAGCTGATGCTAATAGTTTTATTTTTATCTTATTTATTTAAAAATAAAATAGGTGAGAAGAAAATTACAAACCTAAAAGAAAGCATAAATGAAAAATCAGCTTTACTGGAAACTGTTAAAAAACATTTTAATGCTTTGAATGTTTCTAAAATACCACTAGAAGATGAGCTAAAGGAAATGAATGAAAAAAAGAATACAATTAGCTTAATGAATAATGATCTTCAACAACAATGCTTTGAGGTAATGTTCAGTAAACCTTTGTTAATTATGAAATTCTGTTAATCATTCCGTAATTTGATTATTTACACACATTATTTGAAGTATGACTTAATAAAAATGTTATATTTTATTATTTAAAAATGATCTAACTTATGAAATCATAAAGTTAACTACTTAAAATACAATTTTTTTTTATATTGTTTAGGTTGAAGAACAAGTGAGGAAATTTAATGAAGAAATGCGAACACTAGTGAATGATATGATATCTAAACAAGATATCCTGAATAATGAAATGGAAAAACTTAAGATAGAGTATTTTTAAATGTTTACATTTTTTTTTTAAAGCAAATTGTATTTTATAAGTTTCAAAATAATTTTTGCAGACCAGTCATAAACTGGCTGAACAGACTAATTAATCTGCTACCTGAACCAATAACTGATTGTCAATCAAAAGTGGTGAACCCTTGGTATGCAATAGCACTTACAGGGTCTATAATTTTAGGTTATAACATCTTAGATGGCTTATTTGCTAATTACTGTTTATGAAAGATTCAATATTTTTTAATAAACATTAGGAACTGAAAATTCATATGAATAGAAACTTCATTAACATCTGATCTAACCGTAATTAAATGAATCATTCCAGCCTGATCTCATTTGCTAAGATCGATAGAAGCTTGATGTAGAATAGAGTTACAAAGAGAAGAATGAAGAACTAAAGTTTTAGAAGTTAAAAAAAGTTTAACACAAAGAGATGGTATCTCACAGATAACATTAATATTTTATTAATGTAAATAAGTAGTTTCAGAAAAAATTTTATGAGGCTCGAATAAGAAAAATAAATAAGAAGAAAACAAAATATGCGTTAGAGTAAATATACCAGTAACTGAAATGCTTTTATTTAATATATTTTAGGCCAAAGGTCACCAAATATACACAGTTTTTATATCATGTATTCTTTATTCGACGTTTTGGCTTCAGGAGCCATTTTCAAGATCCATGCACTGCACCATAAAATTTTTAAAATCTATCTTTTTTCGTTTTAAAAAACTTAAAATTTTTAAAAATTAAGCAATAAGATTCGTCCTTAAGTCATTCTTTTATTTCAAAGAATGTCGTTTTTTCACTTCTCCTTCGAAGACGATATCAAGAAAATTGTTGCTCCTCACAAGGGCATTCATACAGGACTCTATGAATGCCCTTGTGAGGAGCAACAATTTTCTTGATATCGTCTGTGAAAGAGAAGTGAAAAAACGTCATCCTTTGAAATAAAAGAATGACTTAAGGACGAATCATATTGCAATGATAGATTTTAAAAATTTTATGGCGCGGTGCATGGATCTTGAAAATGGCTCCTGAAGCTGAAACATCGAATAAAGAATACAGGATATAAAAACTGTGTATATTTGGTGACCTTAGGCCTAAAATATATGTAAAAAACTTATAAGAAAATGGCACCAAACCTGAAGGATGTGACTAGAAAATTAACTTCATTTTGTTTCCTGAATTAAATTTATTTATAAATACTGGTCACTATGAAGAACCTGTTTTGGACGATAAAAAAATCTATTTTGCTTTATATCTAATCTAAATCATCAGCAATTTTTTGTATTAATGAGAGAGTAGTGAATGATCCCATTTTATTAAACCTTTCAAAAATTACATTGAGTATTAAAAAAATGTATGCATGATGTCTTACTGCTATAGCTTGTTTATAGTTTATTAAGAGTTTAGCTTGCAATAGGTTTTTCTGTTCCGGAAGAAAGTTATATTCGAAAAAATTTAATGTGAAAGCTACAAACTTCAGAAAGTATGATAAGTTATCTGTCAGGGTATTGTAATGAACCTTCAAATATTTATGTGGTAGAAGATAAAGCATGGATTATAACAGCAAAGAACTCTGTTTTCTATGACTTCAATAATCTTGAATTCATATCTCGAGAGATGTTGACTGGGATAATTAATACTGAGCAATAGTTATCACTAGATCGGCGAAGTGACATTTTTTCTCCATTATATTTACACATTCAGAAAAGGCTTGGTAACACTATGTGTTGAAATTTCTTGGACACTTGAACAGAGGAAATGAATTCTTGCAAGATCAAGAAATTTGCCATCTCCATTCATCTACAAACACATCACACCTAAAACTCATTGAATATTTATTCAATGACATTCACTGGAACATTTAAGATCAACTTCAAAGATGGATTAAAGAATGAGAGAATACATTTTCATAAATTCTTAGAAGATTCCATCAGATAGCTATAAAATAGTTTTCCTGCAGCGATTAAGATAGATAAAAGAATTTAAAAGCTAAGACAAAAAGTAAAATAAGTATGAGAAACTTTTTTTCTGATCATCTCTTACCTCGCCATTTGTGATATATGGTTTCATGGATTCACCGCATAAAATCTGCATTAAAATTTGCATGTCAGATTTGAACGAGAGTCCCTAGACTTGAGAATATTAAAATGGACAACACCCTGACACGCTAGGCAATCATAACATCTAAATATCAGAAACTTTGTGCATGTTTAAGTGAAGGTAGAAAATGGAATTAGATAAAACTGATATGGTACATCTTGGAACTTGGTACCATACACTCCCTAAATAACTTTAATGAAAATTGGATTATTGGTTGTAGTGGTAATTCTGATCACTTGGACTTGACTACAGACAGACATGTAGTCAAATTAATAGCTGCAGAGATTTGGAACCAAAGCAAAAAAGT